AAACTTTTTAACCTATGATCGCGCAGGGGTATGTGTTTGTCATACAAAAAAAAAAGTTCAAACCATTGGAAAAACCCTGTTAACCCTTTTAATACTTAGTATTGGTTTCTGTTAAAGGGAAGAAAAGTCCTAAACTTCAAAGTATTGAAATAAGTGGGAATATATGTATGTATATGGAATAGGCAAATTCTACTTTTTCATGAGTATAATAACTAAGCAATGTAATAAATTAACATAAAATCCTCACTTAAATCAAAAACTTCAAACTAAAATTCCAATTGAATATTTTTTAGTTTTATATTTTTTTGTTGTTTTTTTTTAATTTGTTATTTATTGCATGTTTTTTTTTTGTTGTAATTTTTATTATTTAAGGAAAAAACAAATATTTATTGTCCTGTGTCGAGTTATCCGAACACGCTTTTTACTTTTTTAAAATTAAGTTTTATTTTTACTGTTTGTCGCAACTTTTTAATGCAATGTTTGACTCCTTGTGTGACCCAAGGCCTGAGTAGGGCTTTAGGTGACTGCATTCGTTGCAAGTATTGCACCTAACCGAATTGGAGTTCGGGTGGAGTTCTCTCTGGCATAATCTGCAGAAGTCGGAATTCAACTGTCGTATTTAAAATATTTTTGTATACCATCCCTTTATGGGACTGTCTTAAGACGTGCCGATTTACTCACTTCTGGAATATAAAGCTTTCGAAAAAAGTGTATGTATGTGCCTTGTTTATTTTCGTTTCGACAGGATGTAAACTGCATTCTAATAGAACTCAGGAGTGTATTCGACCAGTTTTTTCGTATACACTTCTTATTTACGAAACTAGTGAACTACCAGAGGACTTGAGAAAAAATGTACTAGTTTTGAGATTTTTTCAGTATTATCTACTCTCTGCAAAAAAAAGTTTAACTTTTAGTCACTGCATATTGAATATACCTATTTTCTTTTCATTATAATGAGTTATAAAATGAACATCATTATTTTATACTTACGTGTTTAATGTATTCCACAACGTGTTTTTGCTTAAATTAATTTCGACTTTTAGCAATTTTTTTTTTGTCTATTCTTTTCGCAATGTTTTTTCGCACTTTCAAATTGTTGGCAGTTTTTCATTAGTGATACAACATGACACTTTATTATTGTTTTTGTTTGTTTGTTTGTTATTCTTTTTGTTATTAAATATACGGTTGGTTGCACAGTTGGTGGTTTGGTTAATTGGTGCCTTTCCGGCTGCTACACTTGCGTTATCTAGTTACTTAGCTATTATTTTCGGTGCTGTTGCTTGCTACTGCCGTGCTAGTTGATTTAGTACTGACGACACCAAAACACCAATGAAAATGACATAGTGAAGATACCTTATAACCAACGAGAAGCGACCGTCAACCGTCGACCGAATGCAGGAAAGGCACACTCACCTAAACATTTAAAATAATCATTGGATTCCAATGAGTTGGATGAAAGAGCCGGCCGGCCGGTTGTTCGGTCGAGTTGGTGCGCAACCGCTTATGTACATATATGTATATGTACCTACATATGTACATAACTATCTCCATATATAATATTTATGGCCGCACGGAAGTGAGAGGAAGTAAAAATATGCAACTATATACTTTAGACTGTTTCAAATAAAACGAATATTTCTTTTCTTTCAGCCCATTTGAAAATTTTGTTTGTCGGTCACAAAAAAATAATTGTGGCAAAATTTCAACCTCATATCTTCATTTTGCAGTTAGCGCTCGCGAAAATAAGAATTTTTTTCCGCTACTTTTTTTTTAATAGACAATTAAAATCAACAAATAAAAAAACAACCCTGTAGCCCATTTAATTTGAGTATAATAGGTGCAAGCATGATAAAAAAAAATAGGAAGGTAGAACCGCTGAGAGGAATTTTTCAAATTCTTGACGTTTTCAAGCAATTTAATTTTAAAATTTTACACACAAACTCACACACACATTCTCATTTTCAATCTCAAACAACAACAACTTTGAACAATTCCTTTTTTTTTTACTCTCAATTTTATATGATTTTAAAATGTTGGCAAACTTCAAAAAAAAAGTCATGGCCGACTAATTGAGAGAACGTTACTATGTTTTTATCATGGGTGCAAGTTTGAAGTAGCTAGGACTTAACGTAGATTTTTGGCATTTTTTTTTTTGTTGACGGTGTCAGACATTTTCTTCCACACAAAGTGTGTTCGTCGACTTGTTTATATAGAAAAACAAGTTAGTAAAAAACAAAACCGACTTAAATTCTCATATAAAAATTTAAGAGTACCGTTAATTTCTTCATGATCAAATGATCGGATCAAAACCCAATTAGTATGGGACTACCTCTGAGGTACCACCTTTTAATTTTAGAAATCTGTTAACGTGGTCCAAAGTTATGCGGTACTAAAATTGAATGGGCTACAAGGCTGTTTTTTTATTTGTTATATTTAATTGTTTATTAAAAAAAATTGGGGATTTTTTTTTATAAAATTCCTATTTTTGCCAGCGCTTACTGAAATATGAAGATAGGAGCTGAAATCTTGCCACAACTATTTTTTTTGTGACATACAACGAAGTTCTCACTGCAGTGAAGCCACCCTTTTTGCGTTTTTTTGACAAACAGGTAATTTTGAGTTAATGCACTTTTGAGGAACGTATGCGATACATACATATCTGTGTTCGTATGGAAAAGTAGCTTATGTCGAAAGGCTGGCTTTAGTATAAATCGGCATTCGCAGCATAGAATTGAGAATGACTCACTGGCGCTGAGCCGTTGAAGAACTTTTCGCAAATAAATATGCAAGAAGTAGTTCCAATACTACCAAGTCAATATTATTATTAAGTCTCATCATAAAATTCCTTGCCGTTTAAAGAGTAAAGGGAATGCCACATTATACTAAAGCCAGCCTTTCGACATAAGCTACTTTTCCATATGAACACAGATATATATGTATGTTATGCATGTACGTAATTGGCTACGAGTGCGTACTCGTACTTTTTAATATCTTTTGAATTATTCCAGCTCTAGATAGTATGTATTTGTATTTACATATGTACATACATACACACATGTATGTGCACATATGTACATATGTAATTGAGCATGAAGTTTTTTGTATTTTTTTATCTTCTTCGCGCTCGAATATTTGCAATCAATCAGTGTTGCCACGGAGAAAGTTCGTTTCCTACCAACCAAAGCAACCAAACCTACCAAACATTTTTTTGGTTTTTTTTTAATTTTTTTCAATGTCAATGTTTCGTTGCCTTTAAACCATTCATGTCCCAGAATCCACCACAGCGTTATGCTATTGTGGGCTCCCAGGTAGTTCAAAACAGGTTTACAAGAGTCCACAAACCTTGATGTCGTTGATGTCTGACTATCCGACATAATATTTATTATTCGCCAGGAATATCGTTGGGTATGTGCCCATTGGCAGACTTTCTTGGAATCTTGGTCCAAGTATACCTGCCACAGTACTCCCGCCGTCCATATTTAATCTGTCGGTATACCATACTTGTGACCTTTCGCCATTGCTAATTATCATCGCTTCACAGCAGTTCCTTTCAAGAATTCTGACCTTGTAGGGTTTTTAGAAGGATAACTCGGGATCAACCAGGAATGACTTGAGAACCCCCAAATGACACCAAGATCTTCACTTTTTATGCTGATCGTATTGGGCAGCCGTAGGGCACTCCAGCAGGCCTCCTTTTCTAACAGAATAGACAAAGGAGGAATGCCTGTAATGACTCCAAGGTGCACATAGCACCTGTGATGGCAACGCGGACCAGTCGGTGCAGTTAATCAATGTGACACCGTCATTTCCTTGCTTAGCTTTTGGCCAACAGGCCAGTGCCGCATATGTAACAACGGGTTTGACTACCGTACTGAAAGACCAATGCGTTAGTTTGGGTTATATTCCCCAAGTCTTACCATGAATTCTATGACAGGCATAAAACGCACTTGTAGACTTGTTTGTAACATTCGAGAGATGTGAGTTCCAACTGAGCCTTTTGTCCAGAGTTATCCCTAGATAATTCGCCTCTTCTCAAGGTGGGTCTATCCAAGTTGACTTTCCTTCTTTTGGTAAATGGGACAATGGTGGACTTCAGCGGGTTTATTGACAAGCCCTTTTCTGCGCACCAGTCTTCAGCACAACTTTGTAGTTCAGCTCAATTTAAATTAACTTGTAGGCACATAAAGTATATGTATATGGATGTTCATATTTTATATTGACAATAATAAGGGTAGACATTGGTACTTACGAATCAGGTATATTTACATGTTTGCGGTCGCCGTTATATTCGTATAAGCAAGGTTGCTAAACTATTTGGAGATACATGTTTTCTATATTTTGCAAATAACTATTTTTGTCGCGAAACCTACCAAAATCCAATCTAGCCTACCAACCTACCAAATGGAAATAAACCTACTAGTTTTGGTAGGAAAAGCCCATGTGTGGCAACACTGTAGTCAATGTCAGCTTTAAATAAGCTTTTCGTGAGAAAGCATTCAAGAACGTGAGAATACGTTTGTACGTGTACATTTGTACATATGCATATCTTAGGTAATTAGCGCTCAAACATAAGTATTAATCGCTTAAAAATATGTAAATATGAATGTTATTGTTTTTTGACTATTTAACGGTTATCTTCTTTTGGTTAGAAATTTGGTTAAACGAACCTACATTTATACATTTAGATATAGTAATTAGTACAGTGAAACTTATCGGAGATGAAACCGCTTGGGATCAGCACTTTTTTTCGTCTTAGAATGGCTTACGGCTTATATGCATAGTAGATATATCTAGGTGATAATAAATAAAATATGTATGTATTAAATCAGTATCGTTATTTATTAGCCGCACCTGGTACATATTAAACTGCTGCAGGAATGCATTTGTTTGCAGCTTCAAAACATTCTCTTGATATTAGAATAGCCGCTCTCTTTCATTCTATGTTAGCGAGCATGAATTAGAATGTTATCGAAGAGTAATAGAATGGAGTGGAGTGAATATTCTCTCTTAATAGAATATTCATATTCTCAACATTTGCAACGGAAGGTAGAGTATTTGCGAATACTCTAATATACTCGTATGTACAATTAAATATACATGTATATATATATTTGTATGACGCTGTTACTAGACTGTTGAAGTGAATTTAGTCCACATTAAAATTTGAAAATTTAATAATAGTAAATGGTCTTTATTNGGTATATTTACATGTTTGCGGTCGCCGTTATATTCGTATAAGCAAGGTTGCTAAACTATTTGGAGATACATGTTTTCTATATTTTGCAAATAACTATTTTTGTCGCGAAACCTACCAAAATCCAATCTAGCCTACCAACCTACCAAATGGAAATAAACCTACTAGTTTTGGTAGGAAAAGCCCATGTGTGGCAACACTGTAGTCAATGTCAGCTTTAAATAAGCTTTTCGTGAGAAAGCATTCAAGAACGTGAGAATACGTTTGTACGTGTACATTTGTACATATGCATATCTTAGGTAATTAGCGCTCAAACATAAGTATTAATCGCTTAAAAATATGTAAATATGAATGTTATTGTTTTTTGACTATTTAACGGTTATCTTCTTTTGGTTAGAAATTTGGTTAAACGAACCTACATTTATACATTTAGATATAGTAAGTAGTACAGTGAAACTTATCGGAGATGAAACCGCTTGGGATCAGCACTTTTTTTCGTCTTAGAATGGCTTACGGTTTATATGCATAGTAGATATATCTAGGTGATAATAAATAAAATATGTATGTATTAAATCAGTATCGTTATTTATTAGCCGCACCTGGTACATATACAGTCATGTCAAATTAATAGGGACCCGACATTTTGACCAGTTTTGACAATTTTCTTAAACTAGAATGTAATGGGCTATAAAACTGCATAATTTCTTTTTAATAGTCACATTAATTGCACCATCGCAAAAGCCTATTCAATGCTTGCCTTCATTCGTCGGTTTAGTTCAGATTTTACTGACCCATACACTCTAAAATTATTATATACATACATCTCTTGTACGGTCCAAACTAGAATATGCTGTAGTTATATGGAGGCCATACATACTACGACTGTCATATTAAAAGACTTAAACGCATTCAAAAGGTATTTGTACGCTTTGCTCTTCGATCACTTAATTTTGTAGATCCAATTCCTTCGTACAGTGCAAGATGTCAGCTAATTGACCTAAAATCTTTACAAAATAGAAGGATTATACTCTCTCTATCCTACGTGTTTGACATAGTAAGTGGTGAGATTGATTCTCCATTCCTTCTTGAGCGTATAAATTTTCATATTCCTTATAGAAGACTTCGGAATCAGGACACTTTTCTTAGAGTTAGTTAGAACTGTTTATGCTTCTCACGCTCCAATACTTCGAGCTTTGAAAGAATTCAATTTGATCTCAAATTCTCCAGCCATTGATCTCGCTGCCTCTAAGTATAATTTTAAATTAGCATTAAAGGAAATTTTCACATATAGGGGATTCACAAGACGTGTTAACCGTCGTAAAATCTTAAGGTTAACATCTTTTTTAATTAAAATGGTTTTAGGGGATTTCTAACTAAACCGAAATTCTTTTAAACTGATAAAGAATATATAATTAGCCAACCCCCCAACCATTTTAACCGCTATTTTACATAAACAAGTGTTAAGCTTAAGATTTTACGACGGTTAACACGTCTTGTGAATCCCCTAATAATGTTTGGCTGTGTTAAGTATATTTTTTATATATAGTCTGTAAGAAATGTTGTATTTCTAGATTATTAAATAAATAAATAAATAAATAAATAAATTTGCCAAATATTCTGAATAAAAAATTTGTTGTACAATTTTGTTGAATTTTACTAATTTATCTACAAAGTTTGAACTCTAGATTTATATGGTTTTTGTTAGATAATGAGCTGTATTTTTATAAAAAAAAAATAATAAATATTAAAAAACCAAAAGAAAAATACGTAGCGAAACCTGGTCTAAATGTCAGGTCCCAATTATTTTTCATATGACACTATATAGATATAGTACATAAGTAATGCCCAAAAATGACATTTTAACGATACACTTTGAAGCCGGGTTACAAATACAAAAATTGTAAAAAAAGGCGCGAAAAAGGTTGAACTGGCTGCACCCAGAAAAAGGGCAGCAAAGACAAGGCGGTTTTAAGTAAGTGCTACTTATTAATTAAGAAGAATTAATTAAGAAAATCTAAAAACCACATTTCAATTTTAATTTTAGAAGTAGCGTATTTAACAAACAACCTTATCAGCCTTGCGGCCTGCTTGGAAACACCCAATGCTGTAGCAGCATCCAATAAAATGTTTTAAATTTTTATAGCGCATATTTCGCGTTCTGTAAATAAAGTGCCACTAATTAAAATCAAGGGTCTTTTTGAAGGTTGCGAAGAAAAGAAAACGCTAAACGAATTATCACGAAAAAATTGAAAACTGCAAAAAGTTTTTAAATATATGTTTCTTGGGGAAAATCGAGAAATGATGGATCCAGTCTCTGAAGTGGTACACATGTAGTTTTTGATAGCAAACATAGAAAACTTATAACTGGAAATTTTTTGTCCTTCAAAGGGGCCCATGTTTACCCTCGAGGTCTATTTTTCTTTTGCATTCTTGTCCCGAGATTGTGGCTATTTGGTATTTGAAACTCGTTTTCGTTATGGAATTCGTTAATCTTAAAGATATGTAGATTTCACATCAAGTATACCTAGCTGGCTACCCAGTTGTGAATTCGATGTATATACGTTGACCTTTATTATTATTTTTTTTTAATTTTTATTATATGTATAGATTTAATGGAAACTTGAAAAACTCACTCATACTATCTTGTCGAATTTTCAAGTTTAAGCTATCGTGGGAAACGTTTGTATTTGCCTCCTTGGTTTTTTATAAAACATTTTAAGTCTGTACTAGAGATGAGCGTGGGATATCGGGACCCGCGGGACCCACATACTGATTTCAAAATGGCAGGAATGTCTTTAAAAATTTTGCGCGCGGGACGGGACCAAAATCCTTTCCCGACACTCCTGATAAAACCCGTAACCGCTGCAAATATTAAAAATCTTCCTTAAAAGCGTTGTATGAAATAAGCACTCTTTTATGTTTTATTGAGACGAAAATGAACAGCAAAGCAAGAAAAAATAATAATCGGAAGATGCCTGATCTTTCACTATCTTTTTTATTATTAAAATAAATTTTAATTTTTCTTGGTGACAGATTTCTGGACCGCGGTACAATTGTGAAAAACGTCGGGATGGGCGGGTTCGGTACTTAAAAATGGAAATTCGGGATGGGCGGGATCGGAACTGAATATTTAGTCCCGTGGCCATCTCTAGTCTGTACATCATTTTTCGACAAATTTTCAATACATTTCCATTTTTGAAAACGCCAATACTGATATGTATATTGTCTGAAATGTTAAATGTCGGCCCATTTGTTACCCCGATTTCTTCGGAATTATAAATTTTAAAATTCCATCTCTGTACATATGTATGCGCATACATTCGGCTGCGTCACCAAAAAATTTTACGGGTTTTTCAGCAGTAATATAAAATATATTATATATTAAGACTTCCGCCAAAATGGTTCGGAAAAATACTAAGATTTACTTGAACTAGACCGATTTGAAAATATCTTCTAAAATCTCATTATTTTAATTCCGTTGATAAAATTTTTCAAGATTTTTTTACAGACCTTCAAAGCTTAAACTCTTCTATCATCTGGGGTGTTTTTTAGGTAAAGGACTTTTAAAAGAAGTAGAAAGTGATGCACCCTTTTGTACATACATATGTATGTACATAATTCTGTGGTCATAAGCAACAACCGCCTAAGTCGACTTAAAATAGAATTGAGTTATACATATTTGCTATCGTATTCTGCAACCCCATCTCGCCAGCTAGGCTATTTAAAATGTTATAGACGAACATATTTTAGTTTCCCCATAAGGTTAACATTACAATCCAAATGTTTAAAACGTTTTTTTCTCGAATTCAGGTTTTTCGACTTAGGTGGTTATTGCTTATGACCAAAGAATTATGCCTTCATACATAGGTGCGTTCATATTCTTTTGCGCCATCAACGCAGATAATACTGAAATTTAAGCTTATGGGTGTACTCACGTACATACATATGTAAGCATCAATGGTATGCGTCAGGTATGTTTGTCATATTTATGTACATACATATTTATTTTCAAGCAAACTTAATACTTCGGAAGCTAGAGTTTTTTTTATTTATTTTTAAAACATAATATTTAAGTACTTATACGGTAAATTCTAGAAACCTATTATGGTCAGACTTGTTCTACATTTAAGAATGCCACCACTTTTTTCTAGATTTGTTTACATACATACATATGTTTAATGTGAAGATGTCACAACGAAATTTTGGCTGTTGTTTTCAATCACTATCGCGAATCTCATTGATTTGCTGCGACATGTCCAAAGTGACCCAAAAATTTATTCTTGGGTTGATGATCTAAGTTACCGTTAAAGACAAATTCATTAAAATTGTATACGCGAAGGCAAGGCAGCAGACTTTAGACGCTGAAGCAAGTTAACAGATTTTTTTTACCACTCTTACCAACCAAAACAACTGGAATTCACTTCAATATTTTTGTTTAATAGTACTTCTTTTAGTCACATATGAAGAACTTTTTTTTCACTTTCAACCTTTTTATAATTGTCACTGAATTTCTGCACTCAACTTGTTATTCTCGCTTATAAAATTAAAGAGGAAGAATAAAAGTATTCTAGTATACAACTTAACTCAACAAGTGTCTGTTAACTTGTTCCAACTACTTGTACTAACAAACTTCTTTAGGTGATGCACAGACAACAGCGGAACGATTGTTGATTAGTCAGTATACAGCAAGGCGCATCCATATAAGGTGGTAGCAATTGGATATAAGTAAAACTCCCGTGATTTTGTTATTGCTTTTTGGTACAGGAGGATGTCAAAACGAAAGGGAATAGGAGATAATTTTTAGCCATTTCGTTTTGTTGCCATCCTAAAGTTGCGCCATTTCGTCTTGGATGACATTCTGCTGTACTTGTGCAGAGACAAAAATATCCAATCAGCTGTTCAAGTAACACCACCTTGTATAGATGCGCCTTGGTATACAGTAGGTGCTGTTTAGATTTTATTATTAAACGAATGTGGAACGTATTGAAGTTGAAATTCACAATTGACTTGTGGTTATTAGTTTACTAGCTTTTGCCCGCAGCTTCACCCGCGTGATGTTTGGTTCAAAGCAATTCTTTTAAATATAACAAAGAATTAAACAAATCATTTCACTACATAAATATTATAAACTTTTATTAAAAACAAAAGTTTAGCAATTCATTTTAATGACATCTACTGCAATACATTTCGTAAACAACGTTTCGGGAGTTATTGTCTTGGGCATGTACAATAACGTATGCGGAATGAATTGCGGACAATTTCTAAGCAGACTGAAAAACACGGGAGCCAAACTAAGTATACCAAAATCTAATGTGCAATCTTAACAAGCATTCCACTAATAACAATCTCGTTGTATATTATAATGCTGAAATAATTTCCTTGAAAGCGAACGAACTCTGAAAATTTGTTTGTAAATTTTGTATACAGGAACTCAATGTCACGAAAAGTAACGCGCTTTTTCATTTTTTCTCTATGAAACTTAAAAAAAAAACTTTATTTACAAAGGAAACGTCGGCTTTATAGAATAGGAAAACAGTAGAAGGAAAACCCACGAGTGTGAAAAAATATGTTTAACATTGTAGCGAAATGAGACCGTAACAAAGAATCATAAATTGCTTGATCTCTCTGCAAAATCACAGCGTATAATGAAAATAATGTACGAAGTAAGCAAAGAAAAATAACACACTATGCAAGAGCCACTTTACCCAAGATTTTTTAAACATTGAAAAGGAAAATTAAAAGCGGCTATGAGCGCTTTCCCAAAATTTGCTGACACCACATTCATTTCAGTTTTGTACAACGGATTAGGGAAATATTTTTCATTGGGGACCCATAAAAGGACTCCTAAATATAACTCTGAACTATTTATCGTATAAATGGCTAAAAAAATAATAACTCAAATTGGCACAATAAAGTTCTAAAATAATCGTTATGGACATGAGTCTTCTCTATAAAAGTTTTTTTTTTTTGGAAATTTCCACAATATCTATGTGAGTGGAAAAACAATATTTGTTGCATCCGAAAGTGTAGCTGTTTATTTTTGCGACATCTCTTCGTATTTCATTCCGCATGCGTTATATTTCTGGCTCTCGATACACGTGAGAAGCCAACGTAGAGTAGTCGGTGCGAGAAACATGGAGTGCCCAGATGTATTCCTGCAACTTTAAATGTTTATCCTTGGCTTTATAAATCGTTTTCGCAGTGGCTACTTTTAACGGAAACTGCAAACGTTTTAACTGAAATGGCATGCTTGCTGGGAATTCGTGGTATCAATACTGATTGTCCTTTGGCCCCGTCAGTGATGATGGCGGCTTGCACAATATGTCTTTCCAGCTCCATTATGCATAGTCTTGAGCCACTGCACAATCAAGGTGCGTCCAGTTTAAGCATAAATATGACTGGCACCCTAACCTTAATTCCTAAGAGTTTAGAAACTCTATAGGATATGTTGTTGCATCATCATTTGCCATCACTGTATCAACAGACATGTGCCTCACCAGGCACTTTGCCCTGCGGCCCGCCCCAATCTCAAGGAGGTCTTGAGCAAAGAGGCCGGACTCTCTATCACTGGATGTTAGTTGTGAGGTTCAATATTTCCTACCTTTGCTCACAATGGCGAAGCCTTGACGCACGTACTTATTTCCCTGCCGCAGTGCCACGCTGGATGACAAGTAGAGTCCCACCCATCAGCAAACGGCTGCCGCGGATATCTTGCAAGCCTCGACCGAGTGCCTCGAGACTCCATGCTTGTGTGACATCGTACATTTTCCCAAACTATTAATTTGCAATGTTGCAACATAGCCCCGCCATTATTGTTTTGCTAATGTTGTAAGTTGATGTATCCTGACTCGCAAGTTTCAGTGGGAGTTTAAGCGCCGAGTGTGCAGCTCTTCCTCCGCTGAGCAAGGTCGCTGATATCCCTGAGGAGGCAACAGCTAGTGCAACATTTTTATCCTTGCGCAACTGTGCCAGTACCCAATTCAGCAAAAATGTCCTGCTAGTTCCACCTGAACGTCCAAGAAATAAGGGCCCATTCTCCGCTCTCCACGCGGCTCACAATTTTATGGGAAATTTGCCTTTGCTCGGAAAATAGTTTAGGTTCCATTTCGGTGAATTGAGCCGCCAAATTCGTGGTGTTATAGTACGTCTCCCTGAATAACTCATTGGACAGTTCTGCAGTTCGTTGCGGAGTGGGCGAGTAGAAATCCCGCATCCACTTTTCCACGATTGAGAAAAGTTTATCCTCAATTAGCCTCAGAGTTTCGTCGTAATGTGCTGTTTCTTGAAACCTGTGGCGATGTCTTCAAAAAAAGGGGTTTTATTCTTTTCATACAATTGCAGGGGATTGAAAGTCCGAAAAGCTTACTAAAACCTCTCCTGTTTGACACCTACATTTAAATATTTCATTAAACTTGTCGATTTGATTTTAAATTTCTAAACTGGTGACAGCTCTCTTCAAAAATAATTTCTAAAGAAAGCTTTCCTAACCCTCTGTCCTTTGATACCCATAATAAAACTTTTCGTTTAACTTGTTAAGTAAATTGATTATGAATTTCTTAATAGGTGGCACCACTCTTCAAAAATATTTAGAAATAAATTTTTCTTAAGCCTTTCTCATTTGAAGCCCATACTAAAATATTTGATTTAAATTGTTAATTAAATTGATTTTATGTATATAATAAGGTGGCAACTCCCTTCAAAAATATTTTTGAACCTTTTTTTGAGAGTGTGGGTGCTGTTATATTTCTTCAAACTTAACAAATAGTTGATTTTAACTTTTGAAAAAGTGGCAACCCTCTTCATAAAAATATCCTGTATGTTAATCCAGGTCACAGCCTATAAGTGAGCCCAATTTCATTGAAAAAGCGCAACAAACATATACACTCACTAACTCAAACTTTCACAATTATAATATTAGTAGGTTTGATTAAAACGGATTTAAATTTCTAAACGGGTGGCAACTCCCTTCAAAAATATTTTCGAAAGAAAGCTTTCTTAACTCTCTCTCGTTTGTAAGTCATATTAAAACATTTCATTTGTAGTAGAATTTAGTAACAGGTGGCAACCCTCTTAAAAAATATTTAGAAATGAATTGGTCTTAGACCTTTCCCATTTATTACCCATACTAAAATATTTAATTTAAATAGTTAATTAAATTAACTTTAA